GTTTATCGCTATATGGAAATTGCAAAGTAAATTTTCCATAGCATCAATTTTATTTGATTTCCCTCAGTAAAATATTGAGTCAGAGGTTTCGTTAAGAGCAAAAATGTTGTCTTCTTGAATGCCATAAAATCATCAAATTTCCAGCTACTATAAAAAGTTGTCATTATTAGAGTAAAATATCCAACAGTTTTAAAACTTTACTAGTACCTTTAGTGTCAACAACTTGGAGAGAAAATCCTTGGTTCTCTGTTGTTCCACTTGCCACAAAACTTATCCAGATTTTGTTTCCTGATGATAGGACGTCAGGTGGGGCATAGTTCCCACTGATGCTGTATATGATAGAACTGCCGTTGAAAGCATCCTCACCATTGCCGACTTCCAAAAAATCGAATGACAGTGTGTTGAGAGCCTCTATATGAACTATCATCTGTCTGCCATCGTCAACAGACAAAAACCAAAGGCAATTTATTTGATCAGTGTTCGCCATCGGGTAATTTGGTGAAGTCACTCGTTGAGAGTCACCAGGAAATATAGTGTAGCTATCTCCACACACAAAACCTTTAAGAAAGAAATAGCAATACTTATGGATTGAAACTTATATTTTACAACATTTAATAATATTACAACAGGGTATTCTAATAACAAAAATAGACAAATAGGTACAAAAATTTTTTATCCCACTAAGAAAAGACTACATCATATTTTTTTTCTTAGTAGCCAATGTGTTCGCATAAATGACAGAGGTATGTCTATGGTCAAAATAATTTATATTTCACCAATCCAATAGTTCAAGCGCACTTCTAATAGAGCAAATACGGTATATATATACTGTAAAATGACTAATTGTCACTGGTTTCAAATTTCGCTGATTTACCATTTCAAGCATGTTCAGTGGGTTTTAAATTCATGGTTTCATCATTGAGATATTGTGTTCTATGTTAAATTTTACATATTCACTGAGTTTTAATTTAGCACATTTTCCAGTCAGCGAAATAAGCAAAATTTAAATGCAGTGAATAATTAATCCTTTTACAGTATATATAAAGAGATATATAAAGTATTTTTTTGTGATTACCGTTTTAGCAGTCAAGAGTATTCTGTATAACAGTATATGCAAATTTAATGCAAATGATATATAAATATTGTACATATTATTAAAAATTTAATTTTTTACCTGGCGTTGTAGTTGGTCTGCTAGTGGTTGGTGCAGACTGTTCTTGTGTTGTTGTTGTTTGCTGTTGTACTGGGGTGCCAGTCGTTATAGTTGAGGAATGTGCAGTTGGTCTGCTAGCAGTGGTTGATCGATCAGTTGGGCCATGTGACGGAGTGGTTTGCGGAACTGCAATGGTGGTTGGTGCAGACTGTTCTTGTGTTGTTGTTGTCTGCTGTTGTTCTGGGGTGCCAGTCGTTTTAGTTGAGGAATGTGCAGTTGGTCTGCTAGCGGTGGTTGATTGATCAGTTGGGCCATGTGAAAGAGTGGTTTGCGGAACTGCAATGGTGGTTGGTGCAGACTGTTCTTGTGTTGTTGTTGTTTGCTGTTGTTCTGGGGTGCCAGTCGTTTTTGTTGAGGGATGTGCAGTTGGTCTGCTAGCAGTGGTTGATTGATCAGTTGGGCGATGTGGCGGAGTGGTTTGCAGTGCGGTAATCGTAGTTGGTGCAGGCTGTTCTTGTGTTGTTGTCTGCTGCTGTTCTGGGGTGCCAGTTGTTTTTGTTGAAGGATGTGTAGAGCCAGGTGTGGTGATTATCTTTGTTGTTAGACGATGCGTCGGGCCAGGTGGCGTGGTTACTCTTGTAGTTGGACGATGTGTCTGGTCTAATGGCGTAGTTGGTTGTGACGTTGTTTGTTCTGGTGGCAAGGTAGCTGATTTTGTTGTTTGATGTTTAGTTGTATGTGGTCTTGTACCAGTTGGCCTATAGACTGTTGGTTGTCCTGTGGGCAGGACCGTAGTGATAGGCGGTCTTTGCGTTGGTGGAGCTGGTTCATGAGTTGGCACTCGAGTAGGTTGTGGTGGGCTTATAACTATAATAAATGAAATAAAAGTATTAAGCATGAAAACAAAATGGTGAATGAATAAGAACAAAAAATAAATTTGTTAAAAAAACAGATCCAGTAATTTTCTTGTTGTTGAAAAAATCCTTGCAATAAAATTTAACTTCATGAACAATTTTTCACAAATTTTTATAAATTTCCATAAAAAGCATGAATGCGTTCAAGAAATTCACTGCAAATTAGTAAATGCAATTACTAGTATTTAGTTGCGGGTAAAAGATTTTTTTTTTAACTTCTTGAAGGAGGTACACCGACCTTGGGTTATAACAATACTGTTTTCTCGTACACCAATTGACCCATCGCCCTCAGAAACTATCACCACTTCAATAAGTATGTCTATTATAGTATTCGCTGACGGTATAAAATCGGGACTATCCGTCGCATCACCACCGCCATTATACGTATCCGGAACAATAATATTCAGTCGAAATGATACTCTGATACTGCCGGGGCTGGGTGTAGAATAAAGAAATAAAAAGGTTGGTTATTGAAAACGATGAAATAATTGAAAAGATAAAGACGGCTGAACGACATTTTCTAGTCCGCCATGACATGTAACGCAGATCGGAGAAACCGGTTACATTCAAACTGTGCGACTCGAACATAAGGTTCATGTTCGGCGGTTTAGTGTTTAAAATGTCAAATACACCAGTTCTATGTGCCATCCTGCGAGATGCAGCAATCAAATTTTTTACAGTCCGAAGTTGGGTGATATACAGCTTATAAGCTTTCGGTCCATAAAATCACAGTTTCTCTATGTAGTTCGTAAAGTAAGGGCGCCGTTGCAGGAGGGCGCGGTGATGACGATATCGTCATAGACCACTTTTTCGGAAGTCGGGATGCGGCGTTTGGCACGCGCGCATACCGTTATCGGATGTTACGTAAACTTGCACTCGTGATATTGTGCTTGCAGTTGAGGGTGCTGACAGGTGGAGCATAATTTAAGTGTGTCTTTGTGAATGGCAAATACTGCGTGGAGCTAGCAAGTTTCCTTGTATTGAAGACCTTACCAAGTGAATGGTACCAAAGCAATCAACTATTTGACATACCATATACCTATTTTAAAAAGCATACTATATATCACTTCATCAGTTGTGATTATATGAGCTACACACAAGTGAACAAGGAGGATTACCGTTGTTTACCTTAAATACAGTGCCAATTGGATTATTGCCATATAAAGTGGAGTGTACTGCTCACCTATCAAGGAATGAGAGCAGCCTGACTTACCCACAACTTACTGAGTTCTGTTCCATCATTGAGGAAGTTGGCAATTCTGTCTGGCAACCGTGAAATCTAGAATCAGGTGTCAGCGAAGAATATGTTTTTTTTGTCAATGTGTACATTAATTGAGGTCACCAGTTATTGAGGTCACTAAAAACCAATCATGAATTACTGGTACCAAAGAGAACAACTTATAAAGGTACCGATCTACTAAATTCTTCTTTTGTTTCTGGCAACTGGCAGGTTCTGGGCTTAGACATCAGAATTGCCCGCATGGAATTTTGGCTCACAGATAACGTTTACCACAAACAAATGAGGTACAGAGGAAAGCAAAGTGTAGATTTCTGAATCAGATTTGTGTCTGACGCCAGCTTGCACACAATCTTGTCCTGTGTTGCCAATATCAACCGTAAGATTTAATTATAAAACTTTGATTGAAAAACTGCCATCACATTCACTTGTGGAAGAAGTTGAAGTTAAAAGTCTGGTCAGAGGTGCTATACACCAAAAGGTATATTTGGTATTGAAGAAGGACCGAGAAGAATGGAAGGAGGAGGTATATTTCCGAGCGCATAATGACATATTTATATAACTTACTTTTGGATAACAGAATGAAGTAGAGAAAAACAAAACAATCCACAAGAACAAATTACACAATTACACAACATAATCAAATCAGTAAGAGAAATATACATAGCTCTATAGTATACATCATCATTTTTATGATATTTTATCTTATTGTCTTTCTTGTGTTTTCTTTCATCCACACTTTATTGTAATTTAACTCAAGATCCTATAAAGGATACAATATCAATAAAGTATATTATTATTATTATTATTATTACATGAAGTGATGTCAAGTGTTTCGAAAAAAGTGAACACAACTTGCTCCATATTTGACAGCCGCTGTATCTTTCTCTCTAAACCATAATCAAATGGTTGCTGCTGGAAAATTGATCTAATGCTCAGCATGTATTTCATCAAATCAAGTAATATTTTACATGGATTTGTGTGATGTTAACACCAATTACTAGTTATGTGAAAATAACATATCCAAACATAGGTCATTATTCGAAAGTCGCATAATGAAGTTCATGAAGACATTACAAAACATGACCAGTGGACAAATTAACCGAGATATGATGTCATGTGTTTCGAAAAGGCTGAGCGCCATGTTCAATACTTGGCACTAACCATACACCTTTCCAAGTCATTCGCTACAAAACTTTGAAACAATCTCTTTAAAAACTATACACATGCACTATGCACAGCGAAATGAACTCGGAACTGTATGCCCTTTAGGAAGAAGAGAGATGGACATTGCTGTGAAGGTGTGAACAATTGATAATTATATCTTTTATCATGCAGTCTTGTAGAAAACTCACTTGTATACTAATGTATTAGTAATGAACCAAGAGTGCTTTGAATAGAAAATATGACTAGAATGATGGCCAGGATGACAGATAACCAAGAGTGCTTTGAATAGAAAATATGACTCGAATGATGGCCAGGATGACAGATAACCAAGAGTGCTTTGAATGGAAAATATGACACGAATGATGGCCAGGATGACAGATAACCAAGAGT